GGTACAGGGAAAATGAGAGGTGGTGTAGATTAAGGAATAGAGTCTGCCTTGAGGAACTTCCTGTCAAGAAAGGAACGTGAAGGAGATTTGTGTGTTTCCCTGTGACAGGAGCCATGGACAACCTAGAGCAGGAAGAAATCTCCCCTGAAGTGCAGAGAAGGAGAGAGCTAGGAATAGCCCGCAAGGAGGAGGAGAGGGCCTGCTCCGATGGTTCCTGGCATGTAACAAGGCACACAAGTAGGATGCTGTCTTGGAAATAACATCCTGTTCTCTCCTACAGATCTGGGGTGCAGCAGGAGAATGAAGCAGGACTATTGGTCATTGGAGTCCCGGCCTCCTCAGTGCTGAGTAAGTCCTGTCGGTTAAAGTCACTAAGAGAGGCACTTTCCTGATTCTTTCCGGTTTTATTTGAGAAAGTGAAATGGCCTATTTGAACAACAGTCTTGGTGTGGTTACATGCAACAGGAGGGATCCAGGCTGGAAATCTGTGTCCTGTGTGATGATAAGTTAGGGCTACAGGCTCCAGTATCCATCCTCCAGGTTAGGGTGTCAGCTGCCATCTCCCCATCCTTCACCTCACCGCTGCCCCTGCACTGTTGTTGAACATCCCTGAGAGTCACGTGTAGCATCGACCCAGTCAATGTCTCTATCCCTCATAGTTCCTGTGGGGCCAGGGTTCCATGACATCTAAGAGGGCTGCCTCTGTCAACAGGATAGACTTGCACACCGATCTCAGGTTCCCTCATCCTTGATCTCTTCATCACCTCCAAACTGCTTTCTGACTGTCTTTTAGAAGAACTACAGCAACTGTAAATCCACTGGGAGGTGGGAGAATGGAGACAAGGAGAGGAACAGGGTAAAGGAGGTGGAGAGCATGAAGAGGAAATGAGAGGACCTGTGGAGAGCAGCAGAATGTGTCTAGAGGAGATTACCTGAAATGAGTCAGGTGAAAAGGATGTTGTCCTGGGTAGGGGTCCTGAGGCAGTGAGACCAGGAACAAACATCTCAAGCAGAGCAGAGTGAGACTTTGGTTTTTCATCCTTGGCTTCTATTCAGGCATGAGGAGGGAAGGCCCTGTTCTGATCCTTCTTAGCATATGTCAAGGTAGAGAACTATGAGGCTGCTTTGGAAAGGGATTCCCATTCTGGTTTTCTGATGAAGGGTGTGGTTAGGGTGGCTCCATCATTCAGTGGGGTCCTCTTCTGGTCTTGTCTGACATGGCCTTTGGCAGATCTGATGACATCATTGTCATTGTCTCCACAGCCTCCTTTACCCAGGCTTCCCATGTTACCTCCCACCTCTTAAGAATCTTGCATCATTTTCCCATGTCATGGAAGGATTTATACCTGATATTTGACCTTACATTAACATTGTTCTGCTCCAGTGTGGGAAGTTAAGTTGGCATTGCCAGGCTTGATACTGAGTACTGCCTTTACAAGGCCAGAGCCACGGGACTTCTCTATGACCAAGGCCCACCTCTGGGGTCAGGCTTACAAGCAAACCTTGATCATCATGGATCTCTTGATGACAGTCACTGATGCAGTGTGAAGCAATGGTCAGTGTAGTGTCTCAACTGATTTCCAGGACACCTTTCACTAGGGAGCAAATCACTGATTTGGCAAGAGGAAATGAACTCAACAGGGACTCCAGGGTACTAATCTGCGTGAATCATGCACCTGAAGGTAAGATTGAGTACAGTAAGTATCTGTTTGTGGTAGAAGATGAGTCTCTGAAGCCTGGTCTTGAGGTGCTGAAAACGATCCCATGAAGTGCCCTGTGCCAGGATCCATGACACACAGGAAAGTTATCATTGATTTGCTCAACTGAAGAGCAATGGGAGACTGAGAGACTGCAGAGGTGTGACAAGGGAGGAACCAGCTTCTCTGCTGTAGTTGGCCTCCAGCTCCATTCTGACCATCTGATCCTGGCCTGTTAACAAACACTGATGCATATTACAGACTTTGACCAGATCTCCCCAGCAGGATGAGAGCCATCTTGTACTGTCATTTCCTTCTAGATCCCTGACCATCTGGTGAGTCCCATGTGCACACAGACCCAGTCAGTTTGATCAGAGAGAGAAATTTTCAGTTTGTGGGTATCACCTGGTGTCAGGCTGTGTCTCTGTGGCACATCAGTGAAGGCAGAGTTTTAGACATGGTTGAGGAGTCTGTTGTATTCTGGAAATGAGATAGGGAAATTTCTTGAATCCTCATTTTATAGTAATTTTTTTTTTGGAGATTGGGTCTCACCATATAGCCCTGGCTCCCCTGAGAGACTCTGTGTAGAACATGCAGTTCTCAAACTCACAGTGATGGACCCCCTTCTCTGCTTCTTGAGAGCAGCATTTACAGATGTGGACTCCTATGCCTGTCTTCAAGTGCTGTATAGCATCCATGGTAAATTCCTGCAAACATTTGAGGCAGAAGGAGACAATTCTGTGCTTCTTTCATCCTGACAGGGTCAGGGATTGAACTGAAGGTTCTGTCATCCTGGATAGACTACAAACAGCAGCAAATTCCAATTCTAACCTTCAGAATAGAAGTCCATGTCCACCAGTGAACAGGTACCTGCAGGTGAGAACTGCTGTCATGAATTCTTCTGGGGACCCTGCTCAGTGGGCTGGGGGAGGTATTCCTAGCTGGTGTATCCTTGGAAACAAGGCACAGAGCATGCAAAGGCTACTCTCTAATTCTTTTCTCAGGATTCCCACTGCAGTCCAGGCACACATCCCATGACTTCAACCTGACCAATCAGGAGAGTCCAGATTGGCTACCTGGTCTGATGGATTGAGTTCTTGCCATTTGAGCCATGAGATCACAGCTGAGGACTCAAGGTGGGTCACTGAGACAGCTGGTGCCTGTCTTGGGATGTTGAAGGCAGGGCTTTCACTTTAAGGACACCAGTGGCAGAGGCAGTTCATGAAGCCACAGATTCTACACAGGAGCTTCCAGTTCTACTCATCTGGCACCCAGATTCTGTCTGCTTGGCTGCTGACTTCCATGGTTAGTCTTACCCATGGGTCCCAGAGAGTTTTCCTTACTTGTCAAAACCACTTTGAACTGTGTTTTATGCCAATCAACCTCGTTCATACTCCCAGGTAATTGAGAGCCCAGGGCTGCAGGTTTCTTCATTCAGATCTAACTAGGACTCTGTGCACCCACTCTTGACATTCTGTGATGGGAGAAGTGATCAGCCCTCCCAAGAACATTGTGGACCAGGCCAGGAAGACCACTCTGCCAGTGTTCTGTTGTTTATCTTACGGCCCCTACGATCATCCAGATGTTGTATATGAAAGAAGACAGTGATATTTGTCCTTTGGGACACACCTGTCATACACAACACAGTCATCCTCAGTTTTATCTGTTTTCTGAAAAATATCTAAATTTCATTGTTGAGGGTGAGTATGTGCCCTTGCCCTGTATGCTCTTCCTCTATTTAGTTATTATTTCTCTATTTATTTACTCATTATTCATTTATGTATTCATTCTATGTCTTTTATATCCCATATCTTGATCACATTCATGTCCCCAGTTGTAGCAGGAATCTTAAAAGTTCTTATTAATAAAATCAAACCCGAGGCGAGTTATTGGGGTCCATGCTGGTAGAT